ACTTACATCATCATTACAATTTCCAATACACCTTTTTATCTTTCCAATTACCTTTTTATCTCACACACATCAATCACAAAAAGTGCTACAGTAAAAATATTCCAAATAAAACACAATCCAAACAAACCTGCGCGCAATCAATTGCAATCATGGTAAGCAATTGTTTTCTCTTTTTAGGAAGATACAGCCAGCATTATAGATAACAAAATGCATTTGTTAACACCAATTTGTTTGGATAGGATAAATTATTTAGAATTTTTTTTACAAAAAAAAATTATTGTACCACTTTTTTTTTTTGTGATATGATATATGCAATATAAAATGATGATTGAAAATTGCATTTATATACAATCAAATAATTTTATTTTATTTTTTGCAAATAAGAAGCTGTTTAAGCACATTAATTGTCTATAAAAATGGGTTTAAGAGTACAATTAATTCTACAATTTACCTTGATTATTAAATCCAAAGAAATAATAAATACACTTGATGCACGTCATACGGGTTATATTACAAGTTTTGATCATCACTTAAGTGCATGATTAGATTATTTTGATCAACAACTCTTTTCCTTCTTTTGTTTCCCAGTGATTATCATCAAATAACGTAATACAGTAGTATACGATGAGTGATGACTATATCTTCAACACATCATTGTCCGACTGCAAGCAAGATCCCACAGCATAGAATAAGTGGCGTGGATAAATGGTTCTGGGTCCAGAATAATTTTCCTTTCTGGCTAATTGTCAAATTCTGGCTTTAGCTAGAAACCCCACCATAATGCACCACTCACCAACTGCATCCATCTTGCCTAATGGCTAATGGTCCATGAAAGGAAAGGTAGCTTTCTTTGAGGATAACAAGGTAGCTTCAATACAATACTTGTCCACCCAATTTTCTCGTATCTATTTATATATTTGCGTGTTATCATATATATAGTTTCATTTTGATTTTTCCCCACCACAATCAGTGACATGGCTGGTAATATGTGCAGTAATACATTTTCCCTGTGACAAATTTCAAAGGGTAAATATTCTCTCTCTCTCTCTGTATGTATATATATATATATGATGATGTCAACCGTACCAAACTCATAGGATGTAGGGACAAGGGGCCGGAACGATTTGTTAAAAAATCATTCGGACTAATTTTGTACAAAATGCACGAAATGTAATTTTGTATGCACATGAAGTAATTTACTTTTAATAATGTGTAATTATAGAACAAAATTTGTTAATCTCACATATGAAGTGAAAAATATTGTACAAGAAGTAATCTGAATCATATAAATATATATATATTATATATATATTTTTTTTGGCAAAATCTTAGCCATGAACATTTAGGAGGAATATGGTACTTTGAATTCATATTGATGATGTCCGCACCAAACTCATTACAGGCCACACAATTTGGAGTTGGGCAACCTAATAAAGAAAAAGGTGTTCGTCAATATATAAGTATTATGTGTATAGCAATTTATAGATAAAAAAAAGATGCGCATTTTGCCTTAGCAGAATATTTACTGTTAAAAGTATCCATCCACTATCCTCACAAATGGGAGCTTGCAAGAATCAGATGCTGCTCGTGATGCCGCTGGCTACTAATCGTGCCACTTAAGACAATTTAGAAAGTATCTTTTGCGCGAATTGCACACGTATGGTTGTTGTCGGCGACCGCTGGCTGTGAAAGAACAACATCTGGCCCATTAACGCCTAAACAAGTTAGTCAGTTGGCCTGCCTTGAGATCCATTAAAAGATGGTTGCACGAATCAAGCTCGGCCCCTCCCATGGTTTTCTCTTGGCTCCGGCTAAGCTATCATGATCAACTAGAATCTGGCCCGTTATTTCCTTCAGCATGGGGGTGATGATTGCAACCTCTTCAATTTTGTGGAAAATCAGAGAGGATTCAGATAAAAATTTGCAGGAATGGGAAATGACAAAATTACACGGTTGTTTGCATAGCCTTGATCCTCTTTCATCACCCGAAAGAAAAATGGAAAAGAAACCTGGAATGGCTAGTCAATACGAGTTTGAAATATTGCAAGTTAGTTGCATCTATAACTTTTATGTTAAGGTTTTTTTCCTTCTTTTGTAGGATAAATTTAGCTCAACTCAACTCTGATCACGTTGGAAAATGGATCACACGAGGCTTACGTAGTTTTTGATTTTTTTTTTAAAAAAATAAATAATCAACTTGAAGCTTCACTATGGCCCTGTTTAGCACTTGAGTTTTTTAAAAATTTTATCTACAGTAACCTCAAAAAACTTATTAAAGTTTTTAAACTGTACATTTCAAAATATTCAAAAATTTACACATTTCAAAAACTTTAAAAAAAATTTCTACAGTAAACTGCAATAAAGTTTTAAACAAACACTCAAAAAACTCACTTGCCAAACGGGACCTATAACTAAGGCTGATAACAAGGCACACATCAAAACGTGAATAAATGGATCTTGTTCCAAAAAAAAAAAGGAATTCTAAATTGGGTTTGTAATTCTTCACAGAGTCTCGTGTTGAGTTACTGCCATGATTCATTCTGCAGCAGCATAAAGGTATTCTAAAAATTTTTATGGCATTGACCTAACACGCATTAGGACTAAATGGAGAAAAAAATAAAACAGGGGGCTGGCCAAATGCTATTGCTAACTGGCCAAATTATTTTTATCATCTCATGGGATTGTGGGGCTCCGTTGTATGACTAGCTCATACGAACTGGTTGCTTTAGCGCGTGATATGGCTATTCCATCATGTGATAATTAATGGGTCGAAATCAGAGGAAGACTCAAACAAGGAGGATTAGATTAGATGAAGAAGAATTTGATCCAAGTAGGGCGTCGATAAGATGAATTTGAATTTGTTTTGAAGAAAATTAGAAGAAAAGTAAGATGTTGATGTTTGATTAATCGTAAAATAATGTAACTTTCGTAGGGTTAACTTGACATGTTAAATGGAAACTCTTTTGTCGATCCTAGAGTAACTATTGCCAAGGAGTTACAGTGAAACCAACACAAATTTTTTGGATTTTCGATGTCACATTCCTGGTACTATTTATTTGAATGGTTTTGGATATCAAATTTATTTGGACGGTCACCGTCGTCACGTATCTGGATATTCAAAATTATAGATCTTTTATAACTAAAAAAGTAATATGTTATGAGTTAACATATTCCTAATACCACGTAAAATTAGATATATATAATTCTAGCCCCGTCTCTTAAGAGAAAAAAATGCAAATACGTATTCAACATGTAATATACCTAAAATTATGAAACCAATATTTGCCAATGAAGCCTTGATCTACTAGACACAATTTAGTCAGAGAAGGCAAATGTATGAGTCTATTCTAATTTTATGTTAGTTTGGGCGTTAGTTGTTATGAATTAGTTGTAATCTCTTATACTAATTCCACCATTGCATGTGGGTTATATGTAATTTTTATATTTAAAAAAATATTAGAGCAATTTTTATTTAAACTAGATAGGTGCACGTGTAGTTTCATGATTTTCATATTTGCACTTTCTCTATAAATTAATTTGCAATATTTTGCAGGATACGTACATAAAAGAAAAGTAACGGTTCAATTTTTGTTCAGCAGATGGGGAAATTGAACTTTAAACTGGACTCAGATTTTTTTTTGGCTAGTAGTGTTTTGTTTTCACATTTAATTACCATGAACTAACAATAACTCAAGACTAGTTAACAAGTTTACTATAAAAAAAGAAGCGAAATGCTATACATTCCAGTTTCCCTTCAGTAGTACTAGTAATTTTTTTTTTCCAGATCTATTTTGACTTCTTTAATTGGAAGTATTATTTTATGGGTAGGATGAAGAAAAATGCAATAATTGTGGCCACCGCCTGTCTCTTGTTTGTCACCGCCGTCTTGACTAAAGCAGAAATCCGAGTCCATTGCACATTGCATGGCCGGAGGTAATTAGAGCTATCATCCGTTCCAACCTAACACATTAACAATCAATGGTTGGGATTTTGAATTTAATTATGGCTACAGTTCTAAGGCGTTGTGTATTTCTTGCTTCTTTTTTTTTTTTTTTTGGTTCTAACACTATAATCGATTTCTTATCGCAAGACTCACCCCAAAAATTAATTATGATTAAGAAGAACAGATTGTTCTATGCATTTGTTGCACGATGTGATGTTGTCTGCCGTAATTTCTATATGGCATTGTATTGGTAAATTGGCATTCTTCATATTAGCATAAAATATTTGGTAATTACAACTATCTTACAGAAATGTGCCTAAGCCTTAGAAGCCGTATATATAAAATGCCGTTGTACATTGTCCGAATATAAAGTCTTTGTTTATGCAGGAATGCTTTTCCAAGTGAACCAAATCCTTCCATCTTTTTCCACTAATTTAATCCAAAACTGCAATTAAAGCGTCCCAGAGGGCCAGAAAAAAAATAATACTCCAGAGTAATTGATCTGATTGACAAAGGGTTCAACAAATTTACTTTATTATACATAAGAAGAACAGGCATAATAATGCTGGTTTATGAATTCTGGATTTATGCATTGGAGAATGATTTACGTCATCCCTCCTCAAGTTATTCTTGTGTGCCGTAAACAATGATGATGTGTCATGTTTGCTTTTGATGTTAGTCTTACCATAGGATTTTTAATTTGACCAAATATATAATCTCAACGTGGGAATTAGTAGCGGTCTATAATGGAAAGATAGATAGGCACATCATACATGAGCAGGTTCATGTTTCCAAATAAAGGCTGAGTTGGTTTTAACCACGAACGTTTGACTTAATTTGTCTTGAACTAACTAAGCGGATTATCATTCTTCTGTCTTCTTCAACAGCGATGTATTGATTCGAGGAAGAATTTAAAAAAAAAAAAATTCTTTATCTAAGAATGGATTGCCACTATTTCGATTTTCTTCATTTGTCCAAGAGTTTCTAGAGAGAAGCAAATAATTAAGACCATCACTTTGGTTCAACTATTTTATTTATCAAAGTGATGCATGGACAGAGTACAAACTCATATATCAATTAAGACTCAACATCAAGAGAAAAATGATAATTTTAGATCAATGCTATTTCGTAAAATTTTATTCTTCTATCAATTAAAACTTCTTGATAGTAGATCCCCCCACCCAAAAAAAAAAAAAAAAGGCAAATGCAGCCATGAGAACCATATAATTTTTTTTTTTTTCTAAAAACAAAAGGATCCAAGCTGAAAGCCATTGAATTGTACCATCAATCAATCACTTCCAGCATTCATACAACTTAATATCAACTCGCAGCCGGAAATAGACATCTCCTTCAAATGCATCAGTCGACAAAGTGGCAATCCCTCTAGCCATGAAGAAGTCACCAGTTCCACCTATGACCGAAATATCCCTAGTCTTGTTGAGCAATGGATCAGCACCAGCAAAATTGAGGGAACCCTTGTGTTCTGTGGAATTGAAGACGAGGGAGAACGAAAGCCAAGCAGAATAGGTAGTTTGCTGATCATAGAGGTACATGCCCTGTGCTCTTCCCACCGGAGGTGAATGCAGATTGTTGTCCAAAGTGATGGGATCGTCGAAAACGACCAAGTCTCCGAAGTTGAATGGGGAAGCCACTGCTGTTTTGTTACCCCAGTCTGGTGCCCCAACTATGGCTGCAGTTGCATTGTCTCTGTTGTAGCCTTTGTACAGGATATCGTGGAAGAAAAACACGAGTTCTTTGCAGGGTTTCGCAGGAGGATAAAATCTGTAGCTATGGCTGATGGTGGAGATAGAGAAAAGGAAGCAAAAGAAGAGAGCAGGGATGAGGGCTTTTGCAGCCATTGTTGTCACCTTCAACTATACTAAATTCTTGGGTTGATGAGGGACTATCACTATATTCTTCCCCCTTATATAGGAGTTTTTGGGAGTAAGAGCGTCATGACTGATCAGTTGTGTGCACTGTGCAAGAAACGTGTACGTTTGGTATCTTGTAAATTGTGGTACATGCATAGTGGAAATAACAAGAATTTTGTTTTTGTTTTTAACCTTATATTATAACAACCCCGTGACACTGATGACATTTTTTGTCATGCATAAATATTTTACATATTTTACACATATGTTGTGTATTCAATCATAATAATATATAAACTGTTTGACAAAAAAAAAAAAAATCATAATAATATATAAACCGTTCGTTCGTGTATATAAGATTTACTTTAAATAATTACTTAAAAGGTATTGTCAAAACATGTAACCGTCCATGAATATATAGTCAAATCAATCCCTCAAAGTGTTGGGTTAAAATTATTCTGAAAGTCAAACTTTCAATGCTGAATTCCAGTTGGCGTTAAATCTATATCCTCCCAACAAAGAGAGGAGGAATAAAAAAGAAACACATACACATTCTTTCCTCAATATCTAATCATTAGAATTAAACACCTTGCCCTCCCGTGGGTAGTTCAGTTGGGACTGATCGTCTGTAGTTACAGTAAGATCCCAGACTCGACCTTCACGTGTTATCGTTGCTGGGCATTTTGGGGCGAATTTCGGAATACCCCTTCAGACCCGACAAAAAATAAAATAAAATTAAACACCATACAACCCTCTCCCCCTCCCCCCCTAAAAAAAAGGAAAGAAAAAAACACTAAACATCTATTTTGCTGTTTGCCTGGTAAATTCCACCTACCACTTAATAGTACCATCGTCAACTACACGACATGGATGGATCAGTTGATTTGCATTCTGTTCCATGTATCGCATCAACTTAACTTTAACACTAATATTAACTGTAGTAAGACCATTCATATACATATTAAACTTGCAAATAGCAATACTAGTAAGTAGTTCGTCGATTAAAATGATTTTCAACGATGGGTTGTTTGGTCAACTATATCCCTGAACATTGGTCAATAGAATGTGACCCTCAAATGTAAATTTTTATGGAAAAATAATATTTAATTGAGAAAGTATCTAAATGTAAAGGGGACAATAAATTAAATGTATGCATTTAAACGATGAATTGGGTGTAAATTATATCTACTAACAAGTTCAACTATGTTACTCAATATAAGCGCCATAGAATTTATTGCACACTCGGATTATTAGTTGTTTGAAACATGAGTGGTGTCTTTGTTATGGATTTATCTAAAAGCAATTATAAGGCACAATTAACCCGGTTCTTTTATCTAGTTAGTACACGGGTTTTTCACATATACTGCTTTGGATTGTAGTTTTCTAATAAAAATTTTTACTCGAATCAATTTTTTACCTTCATATACATTAAATCGTTATAGTCAATTTATTTACAAAAATTTAAAAAGAAAACAGCAATCTAAACCGGAGAAAATTAGAGTCACTTTTGTATTTAAACAGTTCGGAGTAGTAACACTTAAGTGGGTCTCTGGTGTACAAGAAATCCAGATAATTAGCACCACTTAGAGCTAAATCTCGTTTGACTAAGGATTCAACCAGAGAACGTTCTACAGTTTTTGGATTCTATACAGAGACGCTCTTAGCCACCGTTCAATTTATGTTGGTACAACTTCTGCGTTCAACCAAGGGGGATGGAGCGGACAAACTCTGCACTACGACAAGCTCTGCACTACGATAATGGACATCAGTCGGCCTGAATAGCGAATGTTTGGGCTCAAAACTAAATTAACGAGGGGCAAAAATATGGACCATCGAAAAACTTGGCAGTATTGATTTGGATTATATAGTTGCATTTTGATTAATTCGTTGGATGGACCTGTCAAAACAGAATATTTAACCATAAATGGTGAATATTGTAGGGCATAAAATGCAATTATGAGACTGGGCACGTCCTAGTCAATGGTCATTGTATGATTCTTCTTGAGACGTAAGAGTCACTATCTTTCAAAGAGTTCAAAAGGAGAAAACAATCTCAAGAAAAATAAAGAATGGTTCCTATTTATCCGATTTTATATGTCGATTAATTTCATTCGAGTATGATCAGAAGTTGTATGTGATGAATCGCTTCGGTTATTGGCCCGTAGTCTAGAGCAACGGATAGGCCCTGGCTGTGCAACCATACGCCAATTTCACTCATGATCTGTTGTTGCTTTAGATTCGACTACTTCTTTTAGGAACTTAAATCAGTTTGTTACAGTTTTCCTTTCTTTTTCCCCATGGTTTGCCATATTTACACTTCAAAAAAAAAAAATTATGCTGACCCTTCATTTCTTCTGTAATTTTTGCAAATAAATTAAAGTTGGTGGAGTGCAGTAACAAAATACAGAGCGAAAATTCTAATATTCTCTTTTCATTAATCTCTATCATCAAATAACTGATCATGGAGCGATTTTTTGTTCAATGGAGCGAGTTACATGAGATTTAAGTCAAAACCAAAAGGAAACTCCGTTACTTAAAAGGAAAAGAAAAAAAAAGGAAAGAAAAATAGTAGAGATCGATTAATAATTAAACTGAGAATATATACTATTACCACGGAAATATTGTTGAGAACATATATGTATGGGATAGGATACAATAACAGTGCTGATCATTTCGTTCTTTTAGCGGGTGGATTTTGCTTGCTAGTAGCATTCGTACAACTTGATGTCCATTTGGAGGCGAAAATAAGCAGTACCTTGCTGAGTATCAGTACGAAATGTTGCAACGCCTCTAGCCATGAAGAAGTCGCCTGTTCCTCCAACCACCGAGAGATCCCTAGTCTCCTCCATCATCATGTCAGCCCCCATGATGTTAATAGTACCCTTATGCTCAGTTGAGTTAAATATCAAGGTATAAGCAAACCATGCATTATAAGTATCTTTCATGTCGTAAAAGTAGAACCCTTGAGCTCGCGCTATCGGGGGAGAAAGAAGAAGCCGGTCTTTTGTAATTGGATCGTCGAAAACCACGAGCATCCCAAAATTGGTGTTTCCTAGTTGAGTCGGATTTGCCGTGGCTGCAGAGGTAGCATTTGCGGTGTTTGTTCCGTTAAAGATGATGTCGTGGTAAAACACTGTCAAATGTTTGCATGGTTTTTCAGGTTTTATCTTCCTAGCGTGGCTAAGAATGAAACAAAATGCAACGAGAAAGAAGACGTTGCAAAAGGATTTCTTCATATTGGTTCTTTTCTTCATATTGGTTAATTATGCTTGATTTGTTCCATATTGTTGGGCAGTTTTATAGATGAAATCTCCTACACAAGACAAGATCCGTCCTTAATCGCGTTTTATGTGCTCAAGGTATATACCATTCGGTAAATTAATTCTTAATATAATGGACATCGACATATTCTTTCGTCTTTACTCTTTAGCATGTATTGTACTAAGAGAAGAGAAGAAGAGATGTACTACAAGAAGATAGGCATGGAAAGACAAGACAAGGAGATCGGGTGAAGTGTTTTTTATATTGAGAGTGCTGTATAAACTTGTCCTACTCGATGTTCATTGCTTGAGATAAATCAATTTTTAAACTATATATCATGAAAATGTGACGTTCAAATTTTGGATTTCTACAGCCAATTTCTTTTACAATGATAAATATTCTGGAAATCATTTTTAAAGTGAATATGTAGAAAGAGAATAACCAACCTTCACTTTAAAAAAAAAAAATTTTTCTAGCAGAGAGGGGTGAATTTAAAAAGGTCAGGAGACAGAGAAATTAGAAGCCAAAACCTCTACGTTTTAGCCTTCGCTTAGGTTACCTATTGGCATGAAGTTGGGCTCAGTGGCTGGTTCTGGTTGGATTTAGAGGTACATGGAAATCTGAAATCTCAATTTGTACTGCGTTTGGCCTCAATAATTTTTGGATATATGTCTCAAAGTACATAAGGTGTTGCATAAATAAGTTAATAAGTTTTTCACGTAATCTTTCTCTTGCATATCTTGCTTCAAGTTTCCAAGTCAAAACCCACTCTCAGGTATTTTTAAAAATTTATCATATGATGAAAGACCGTAGAGAATGTATTCATGGAAAGACTGGAATACCAATTACACGAAAAAGAGAGGATGATTAGAGTAAGATTAATAACGAGCCCATTGTGTATAGTGAGGTCATCTAGATTGAAGATTATTTTGAGAAAATCTCTTCGAATAATAGTGTAACGTGTTTTGTAATGTGATATATATGTATAGAAGATAAAAAAAAAAGTTTAAAAAACATTCGAGAAAGTATAGAATTGAGAGAAAAAAAAAAAGGAAGTATCCAAGTTGGGTATCCCAATTATTGATTATTTTTGTTATGTACACCAGCCAACACAGCCTAGTTATATGTGCAGAGTGTCTTTTAGTTACTTACGCGGGACGTGTGGTGGACCTAATGCTGTTAAAAAAAAAAATGGTAGTAAATAATAATTAGCATGATTTAACATCAGTTGGTACTAGGCCTGTCAACGGGTCGGGTCTAGACCCGGATCCGGACCGGATCCGTGAAATTATTGCGAGTATGGGTAGGGATTTAATTCCGTTTCCCAGGTCCGGATCCGGATCCGTTTTGTCAAACAAAAAAACGGGTCGGATACGGAATATAGTATTCCGACCCGTATTAGACCCGGATCCGGATATAAATGAATTAATAATTTAAAAAATATATATTTATCAATATAATTTGATTAGGGTGATGTATTTTAATAAAGTTAATTTGATTTCTTTTCTTATTTGGTTTTTTCTTTGCATTAGTTAGAAATTAGTTTACAAATATATTTTTTTCTCATTTTTATTAGAAATTATAAATTTTGGTAAATTTGTTCGGGTAGACCCGGATCCGGATCCGGGACCCACCGGATCCGGATCCGGAACATAGAATAAAAGACCCGTCGGGTAAACGGGTCGGATCCGGATCCGGCAAAGTAATTCGGGTCTGGGTCCGGAATAATGAATTCCGGCCCGGACCCGGCCC